TCAGCAGTGCCAGGTCACATTGCCACGTCACAGTGCCAGATCAGCAGTGCCACGTCACAGTGCCAGATCAGCAGTGCCACGTCAGCAGTGCCAGGTCACATTGCCACGTCAAACATAGTGCCACGACAGCAGTGCCACGTCAGACATAGTGCCACGTCAGCAGTGACGTTCGACACAGTGCCATGTCAGCAGTACCACATCAGACACAGTGCCACGTCAGCAGTGCCACATCAGCAGTGCCACGTAATCAGCAGTGCCACGTCAGCAACATGACGGGCCTGCCAGGCCAACTGGCCAATGAGACCATTGCCGCCTACAAGCAGCGTTGCCTGGCTCAGATAGAGGAACAACGCCTGCTGGCAGTCGAGGCTGCCCGCGTACAGGCTGAAGAGGCAGCAACAGCAGAGAAGCTGCGGCTACAGGCCGATGCAGACGCAGATTCCCAGGCTCGCCGCAAGGAAGCCCAGGATCTGCTACAGCGGCATGAAGCCACAAGCATCAACAGACTCAAGTTCTGGCATTTTGAACCGAACGGCGACGAGGCAACACCGGAAGAGCAGCATAAGGAGTTCCTCTCCAAACTCGTGACACGGTTGCTGTATGCTTGCAACTACCAACGGTCAGAGTTKGAGAGACAGTACCAGGASCTGACGCAACAGCATCAKGAGTTGGCAACGCTCCGCCGCACAGTGCAGAGCCACGAGGATGCAACTCGGGCACTCAATGCCCGATTGCTGGACCTGGAACAGGCTGTACCAGGACCAACTGTTGGGGCTTCCAGCAGTGCACCCTCTAGCCGCCAATTTGAGGAACGCGTTGACCACATCCTGGCAATGCTCGGCGACATTAACACCTTCGTTGCGTCGTCCACCATCAGCATTCAGCTGCATACCTTGAAGACCGAGGTCCAACAGCTGCAGTCAACGAACGCAGATGGCAATCAGAAGATGCCAACTTTCCAACTGGAAAAGTTCGACGACTACACGCAGCAGGATCCGACCCTCTGGTGGGAGGCATTCACGACGCAACTCAAGATTCTGCCTGTCACTAAGCACAAGTACATCGGCGCCCTGTTCCTGAACTCAAAGGGCGGATGCCAGACCTGGTTGACCCACCTGGCAACCTCCCACGGCGTCGACGTACCGGACCTCAAGGACAAGATCACATGGGAAGAACTGACACGGCTGTGGAAGAAGCGGCTCATCGTCGACGACGCGCCGACACTCGCCATCAACCGTTTGTTCACTATGTCACAGGGCAACACTGCAACACGGGATTGGCTCACAGAGTGGCAGAAGATTGCGGCAGTGCCCAATCTGGACCTGCCTTTCACTCATCTTAGGCGTGAGTTCTACAACAGGTCCTGTGCTGCATTGAGCCAGGCTCTTGGTGATCGCGAGCAGTACGCCACCTTCGCCGAGATTATCGACAAGGCGCGAGAGATCATCAAGACCAACAGGTCAGCTGCACACGAGAAATCAACATCATGGCAGCCGACCTATGTGGAGAAGGTACGATCTGGTCCGCGACAGCAGCACTTCGCTGCAGTCCAGCAGAACAGTGGGGATATCAGGTGGTTGCTGTCCAGCCGCGAAGCACCAACAAGTCCCGCAACAATGGGAGGGCAAAATCCGCATCGCAGGCCGGAAACGGACAGCCAAGACAGTTTCCATGGGTCAAGTTTGGCTTGACCGAGGCGGAGTACAAAGTCCGTGGCCGCTACGGTAGCTGCTATTGGTGCAACATCACCAAGCACAAGACCTCCCTGTGCCAGGATGAGGGCAAGGAGGATGTGCGACCCCGCCTCAGCTCGGGAAACTGAGCTCCGCGGAAGGTGAGGCGACTCCACCTTCCACTCCGCCAGATTCGGCCGCCTTAGCGGCCTCGTGCACATCTGGGGAGGATGCGAATGTCGCAAGTCCTCGGTATACTTACGAGGATTATGCTGTCCACTTGGTTCCACCGCTGGACCAACAGCTCCACGTGCAACAGTCCACCGCATGCACGGTTTCATCACCATCGGCAACCGTTCGGCAGCTTCGCCGCAATCTATCGTCGGGGATTCGACGTCATGGTCAAGACTTGATGAGCTCGACCCGTTGACGTTCACGGACTTCCAGTGGATGCCCGTTCCCTCGACCGGACGATTGCCGAAACCGCATTGCAATGTGCTCATGGCACAATTGCGGGACTACTTGCACAGTGCAGTACCAGCTTCGTTGATGGACGTCGGAGCAGAGGTTGTCGACCTTCTCGTGTATATCGTGAAGATCGACCGCGAGTTCAAGACGCAACGGTACGACGACATCGACGCACCATTGCTATACATACGCATTCAGATCGGAGAGGCGACCTGCASTGCCTTGGTCGATTGCGGAGCATCTCGCAACTACATCAGCCAGGACTTCATGGTATGCGCCGGCCTTGGCCCACGTGTCCGGAGGAAGTCCCAGCCTACGCAAGTCACTCTGGCAAACGGTCATACGCACAAGTTCATCGACCGGTGCATTGACGCCGTCCCAGTGTACTTTGCCCCTCACGCAAGTGAGGCGGTGTCCTTTGACATTCTGGACACCAAATTTGACATGATCTTGGGCATGTCATGGCTGCGAAGCGAGGATCACCCGGTGAACTTCTTCAAACGCACCGTTCACATTCGTGATCGGAACGGAGTATTAGTTCCATGCACGGTGCCCCTTCCTCATCCTTCGATCAGCTGCCACGTGGTATCCGCCGCAAGCATGCGAGCTTCCATCATCAGAGACGACATCGAGGAGATGGGGGTGTGTTTTCTCCATAGCGCAAAGATCTGGTCTTCGCGAGAGTGCATCTACTGCGCGATTTGAGAGGCCGGGTAGATGTTTCGGTGTGAAGTCAAACTGGTCGATGAAGTACATCCATCGTCCGATCGTGCTGCTCACCGTATCCTGCGTCTTGTAGTCGGTCAATGGATTGTTGTCCGTAACCCATGTGAACCTACGACGTCCAAGGAGGAAGTGCCGCCATCGCTTGAGAGCCATGACGAACGCGAGTAGCTCCTTCTTCCTTGCATCATCAAGCGAGTTGATGGGAGGCACTTTGTGGCTGAAATACTCCGCATGGTGCCAGTCATCGCCGTCGTGTTGTTCCAAGACTGCCCCAATGCCATAGCCAGAAGCGTCCGTAGTCACTCTCGTCGGCAAGGTGGGGTCATAGATGCTGAGGACGGGTGCCATGAGCATGGCCGTCTTAAGTACTTGGAATGACCAGCGTGCGTCGTCATCGAATACGAATGGCACCTTTGGCGACTGTAACCTCGTCATAGGTGCAGCAATCCTGGAGTATCCGGTGATGAGTCGCTGATAGTAGCCCGCCAATCCCATGAATGAACGAACGTCCGTGGTATTGGTGGGTTGGGGCCATACTCGTAGGGCCTCGATCTTGTCCGCGAGTGGACAGATGCCTTGCAGCGTCACATAATGGCCCAAGTACTCCTGCTCCTGCCGCGCGAATTCACACTTGTCGCGGTTGGCTTTGTACTTGGCCTGTCGTAGCCGCTCCAAAACGGTGCGCAGGTGTTCCACATGCTCCTCCAAACTCCGGCTGTACACCAGGATGTCGTCGAGATAGATAAGTACGTATCGATCCAGCATGTGTCGGAACTCCGTTGTCATAGCCACTTGGAAGGTGGTCGGGGCATTCGTAAGGCCAAATGGCATAACCAGCCATTCAAAATGCCGATACCGTGGCTTGAATGCGGTCTTGTAACGGTCCTCCTTGCGAATCTCGAGTTGGTGGTACGCTGACTTGAGATCCAGCTTCGAGAAAAACTGGGCGCCGCCCAATCGCTCAAGAAGATCATCGATGGGTGGGAGAGGGCCGACGTTCCTGATCGTCTGCGCGTTGAGCTTGCGATAATCGATGCACAACCGCAGGTCCTTCCGGACGAAGAGAACAGGAGCACCGTATGGTGGTGAGCTAGGCCGAATCCAGCCTTTCTCTAGAAGGTCGTCGAGTTGTGCGCGGAGCACACTTAACTCTTCCTCGCTCATTCGGTATATGCAACCGCGCGGAGGTACGGTCCTGTCCTCGAGGATGATCTCGTGGCGGATGGGTCGATTCGGTACTACTCCGTGCGGGCCTTCGAACACGTCGCTATAGGCATCGAGAAGCTCGGTGATGCGTGGATCCGAAGGTGAGTCCGTCGATGAAGCGTCATGGGGCGGGAGGGCACAGCGACACTTCATCCAGGCATATGAGTCTGATCCGGACTTCGGCACGCTCTATGCAAAGCTATCTTCGGATCACCCGTCGACCAGCCATTACCGCATTGTCGACGGGTACTTGCTCCTCCACTCGAGAGGCAAGGACTTACTATGTGTCCCATGCGACCGTTGTCTTCGGACTCGCCTCCTCATGATTCACGACTCGCCGGCCATTTCAGAGTCAACCGCACTATTGCATGGCTTCGACAGCGATTCCGATGGCCCGACCTCATTACCGATGTCACTCTGTATCGCGACTCTTGCGAAGTTTGCCGACGCAGCAAGCTTTGCAACCGCAAACCCTACGGCGAGTTACACATGATGCCTATCCCACGGGAACCCGGTCTCTCCATTGCCATGGATGTCACTGGTCCGTTTCCTCGCGACCGGCTCAGGCACGACGGCATCCTCACGGTTGTGGACCGATTGAGTAAGTACGCGCGTTTTCTCCCTTGCAAGTACTACTCCACGGCTCCCGAAATGGCACGCCTCCTGCACACTGGTTGGATTTGTGGCCACGGTGTACCAGAAGACATTGTCATCGACCGCGACACTCGTTTCATGTCGGCGTTTTGGACTGCTCTCATGCAGGAGTCCGACACAACAATGAAACCAAGTTCGGCTCGACATCCTCAGACAGACGGGCAGACGGAGCGGGCACATCAAACCGCTCAAATGATGCTTATGCTCATCCGTCCGGACCAGAAAGAATGGGTTGACCGCCTCCCCGACATCGAGTTCGCCTACAACACTTCGGTGCATCCGGCGATCGGCGTGACTCCATTCGAGTTGCACCACGATGGACGGAAAGGCCGGATCTTCGCAGACCTTCTCCTCCCTCGACCAGCCGACATCGACGCTGCCTGCTCTCCCGCTTCCGTCCGGAAGTACAGGGAATTGCTGACTCAAGCCCGTGCAAATATGCAAAAGGCTCAAGTCCGCATGCAGCAGCAAGCCAACAGGCGTCGCGTACCATGTCCTATCCGCGCCGGTGATCTGGTTAGGGTCTCCGCGGAAGAGTTTGCACTGGAACAGGATGTTTCACGCAAACTGCTTCCCAAGTGGTTTGGACCTTGGTCTGTGACAGCAGCCGCCGGCGATGAGCCCGATGGCCCTTCATTTGTGATCAACATTCCAGAGCATATGACGGTCCATCCGGTCTTCCACGCCTCGAAGCTGGCAACATACACGCCAGCCAAGAGCGACGACTTTCCGGACCGACGATCGCAGGACCCTCCTTCTATGGATGGCCATCATGAAGTTGACCGCGTCATCTCCGATCGCAAGTACGGCAGCAAGCCGCGACAGTACAAGTCACATTCAAAGCATGCGATCGCGACGACACTCGGTGGATTTCAGGCGCAGATTTGAAAGCATCCGCACCGCTGATCTACGCGCATTATGAAAAGCGCAGGTTAGCTCAGGAAGCTTCACGACCAGCCCCACAGACAGCTTCGCCCTCGCAGGTAAGCTCGGTTCTTCAAGGAGGGGGGGGTGTGGCATACTGCGTAGCCACACGGGCCCTGCAGGGCCCGTCCCGGACATTCAGCCTAAAAGCCTAAAACTTAGGGCTTACAGGCCCCGTTCGTTTCAGCCTGGATGCTGAAAAATGAGGGCCTGCAGGCCCTACCCTGTTTCAGCCTATTTCTGGGTCTTTTCAGACCCAGAGTTTTCAGCCTGAAACGGAGGGCCATTTTCAGGCCCTCATTGTTTCGACCTGCCCCTAAGWCTCAGGCACGTAAACAGGGATGCGGAACAGGCCAGAAATAGCCTGTTCCTCACGAGTTGAGCAGGAGCTGCAGCTGCAGCCCCTGCCTCCCTTCGGCAGCCTCAGGAGGCACACCCGTAGTACATAGGAAGTTCCCATGCATTTCACGGGTAGGTAGTTCAGTAGGCACGAGGTAGTCCAGGAGGCACACCCGTAGTACATAGGAAGTTCCGATGCACTTCACGGGTAGGTAGTTCAGTAGGCACGAGGTAGTCTTCAGGATACCGGCCGCAGCACTCAGGAGGAGCGCTGCAGTAGTCTTCAGCGCTAGGCAGTAGTGGTAGCGCTAGTTGTAGTCTTCGGCGCTGGGCGCCATAGCTGTAGCTGTAGTCTTCAGCGCTGGGCGCTGGTAGGTGGTAGATCGTAGAGTGGGAGAGAGACTGGCGGAGGCCAGTGTTAATTACCTGTGGCGCCATCGCTCCAGCTCCATCTTCGTTGTACCTGCATCAAGGCGCCAACTTCACAGGTTAGTACTGGACACAGAGAGAGAGAGAGTTCTTCTTCTTCCTCTTCACAGGTTAGTACTGGACACAGAGAGAGAGAGAGAGAGTTCTTCTTCTTCCTCTTCTAAGTCCACCTTCTCTTCTCACCCTCTCGCCACCTGACTTCTCAGACTACGACAGAGAGAGACAGAGTTGTGACTTGAGACTTGACGACATTGAATCCAGACTGGACATTTGGGATTCAGACATTCCGACGAGGGACTATTTGGGCTTGTGCCGAAGACTTGGTGTTGACGACATTCCCATCTTCCCCCTCCTCTTCGTCTATCCCCTTCCTCTTTGTCTGTGTATGGTATGGGCTGGCGCTGTCTTCCTGTGTGAAGCGCCAGACCCATTCACACCTTGTAACGATGATGATGATGTATGCTCAGGGCTGCATTACAACATTGATTGTTCGGATCACTGGTATCTAAGTCTTCCGCTGTGTTATCTTGTACTTTGTATTGAAAGGTCGGTTCTTGTTCTGGTCTGCACGTTACAGTATGCAACAGACTGGGACCTGGTACTTGGGACTGGTACTACCCTGGACTCAAGACTGAGACCTGGACTTGGGACTAGGACCTGGGACTTGGAACTGGGACCTGGGACTCATGACTGGGACCTGGGACTCGGAACTCAGTGAATCCTTTCACTGAAAGGCAATTGATGATCTGCACAGGTGAGTTGTTTCTCGAGCTCTCTGTGGCTAGGTAGAGTTGGTCCTTCCACACTCGCAAGCGAGAGGCTGTGAAGGCTCTAATGGGCTGATGGCGGGGTCCACGATGGACTCATCACATGCCTGTCCTACTCCCCTCTTACTCAGTAATTACAGTTTTCTCAAGCTTGTTGATTTGTTGTAAGAAACTTGCACAGCGTGTGTGCTTTCTATGCTGACCACTTGTGGCGTGCGGGCGACAGTAACACATGGTGTGCGCTTTTTTTCTGGTAAATGCTTGTGGTGATTGTCTGATTGTGCTGCAGCTCTGCCGAGCGGTTCGATCCACGTGAAGGGTCATGGCAACACATTCCATCAATGAGTGAGAAGAGAGGAAGTTTGTCTGCAGCGGTTGCTAATGGGAAGATGTAAGTGTGTCGAGCCCCTAATCTCCATATCCCTGGTTTTGAACTCGGACATATCTGAATCTTCGCAGAAGTTACACTTTAGAAGACTATTGTCTACCCCCAAGTAGAGTGTGTGGTCGTTATAGCTGTATGTGAGGCTACTTTCAGTCTACAAACAGTGATAATGAATACAGTATGTCGTTGTTGAGCATGTGCAGCTGCTTTGATTGTTTTCAGTCTCGGTATTTTAATCCCAACAGAAGACCGCACAGCGGGCCATGACCGATCGGCTTCTGACTGAAGCCAGTCGCTATATGCACGACTCCTCCAAGGGTATACGCACATTATTTTGGACTGAGCTCTGAACCTGATTGTTGACAGATGCATCAGGGTACGGCTGTGATTGCAGTCAAGATACGTTTAGGAAAGTGCTAAAATATGCCCTGAATGATTGATGTGACAAATGGAGCACATGATCCCGAGAGTTAGGATGATTGGCTCTTTCATTGCTTACATATTGCTGATGCATTTCAGCAAGCCGTGAAACAACAAACCAAGTCGTTGTTTGTCCTGGTGCCCGTTTACGGGAACTCTCATGGTGCTACTAGAATAGGTGGGGGCGGGGGGTTGATAACTTCTCCGCATACCAGGCAGGGAGGCAGCAAGGGATGCAGGGTAATTGTCGAATTCAAAGTTTCAGGACTATCATCTGCTGAGCCTCCCAGACACTGAATCAATCAGTGTTAATGATAGTATGGGCCTTGCCGCACCACTCGCCAAATGCCAAAACTTTTCTATGTACAGGGACCTCTTACCTCTTATTGTCCAGATACATCGAAAGTATTGCTGTTTCGCAAGTGGTGCAATGGGGCCCAGTACCACATCTTCAATGACTTGAAGCTGCCATGCTATTGAGTGTACAGATTTCAGAACGTCAACCGCACTCTCTCTAGCTGGGTGGACCGTGGATGTCACACTGCACCCAGAGCTGAGGTGTCCTGTCCTATGTGGCTTTGCTATTTTCATCATCTGGAAATATTGACGACTGGAACCTTCATCCAAATATCCGTCTCCTGCCCTTCGGGACATCCGTTAATATTGGAACGATACAGAGAAGATTAGCATGGCCAACAGACATAAATTCGGTACTGGTTCAGAAGATAAACAGGAAAAAAAAAGAAATCGGTAAGCGATTGCCTCTGTTTGACGCTTTCCTCCCTCAAGGTGTTCACTTCGCAGGTCTGGATTGGTCTTTTTTTTTTTCAATTAAAAAGTGCATTGAGCCTTACTGCTTGACACCTTGAGCACACACACACATTGAGAGATCACACGAAATCCACACTGGAGTCCAGAGATGCTAAGTCCAGATATGCGCAGCTTAGTAATTTCAACAAATTGTTACGATCCTGGCCAATTTCGAAGTATACATTCATTAAAAAGTACAATGCCGTCCAATTGCAAAAAGAAATGAATGAACTTAAGAAGAGAGAGAGGAAAAGAAAAAGAAGAAGAAGTAAGAAAGAAGAAGAAGATGATGTACTCCAGCATAGGCCAATGACAAGGCTCTTCTTCTTCGCCAACCAATCTCCTCCCCTCTTATTCAAACAAGAACTAACAATAATAATGTTTGAATGGCTGAACCAGAATCAATGTCTGAATCCCACTTCTACTGCGGGCACAACATGAGGTCCATGATAGCCATGTCCACCCTTCCTCTTCCTCTACATACAGGCCGAGGCTATGGCGGAGCACTGAGGGCTCCACCCTCCTGTCCAAAGGACAACCCAAAGCAGCTATGTCTCTGCCCTTCTGTCCCAAGGTGAACACCAGACAGCTATGCCGCTGCCCACTCAACCGCCATGCCTGACTCTGTCCCGAGCTTCCTTGATGCGGCACTACCCCAACTGGGGCCTTCCAGATGCAGCGCCTAACCAGGTGATGAAGATGGTGTCCACCATAGCCAGGTAGGTACCTCGCCACTCTCCTCCTTGGTCCACTTCTCCCTCCTCCTCCTACCGGTAGAGCTCCACCATAGCCAAGGTGGAAGCTCCTGGCTTCTTCCTCCCAGCAGCGCTGTAGTGGCCAGCGCTACTCCAGCCAGTGCTCCAACACCGTGTCGCCAAACTTGCACACTGAAGAATGAGGCTGAGCTCTTGCCTCGGCTTCTTGATATAGCAGCCTGCGTGCCTCCTGGGCGGTGACTTCCAGGCTGCTCGGCCTCCCAAGCAACCGGTACATGCTCTAGACTCAGACTCTGACATTGCCCGAACAGGCTCTAGACTCAGACTGGATGGACTGGTACCGGCCTAGACCTGGGCCTCAAAAAATGCCAAGTTTGTCTTCTTCCGCTCGGCCTCGAGTAACCGGCACATCTACTGCTACTGGGTGCAGTACCGGCCTACCTGCTACTTGAGTGTTCTTCCGCTGCTCCTCAATGCCACGGCCACAGGCTCCGCCACTTGAGTGTTTTCCCCTGCTGCAACCCTCAATGCCACGGCCACAGGTAAGTACCGGCCCTAAGTAGCCTGGGGCCCACAACTCAGCCCCAGGCCACACAGAATTGAGTTGGTCTGCGCTGGGCTGTGTGACTGAGACATGCCCAGGCCTGAGTCTGTCGAGTGTGGCTGTGTGACCGAATGCTGCACAAAGGAAATTCAAGAGTCAAAGTCAACTGTAGAGTCAAACGTACCGCACCCAGGCCCTTGGTTGGATACACTCACTTGTTGTGGCATTGAGATCTGGACGGCCGAGGGATACAGCATCCGGGGTCCAGACCCCGCGTCAACACTACATAAGAACTGGCTTTCTGGCTTTGACATTCATTCTGTCTTGCGTGGATGCTGACTTCACACGTTGACTTCAACGCTGGCTCGACGCTGCAACACTGGCATTGTGACTTGGCGAGGCGCTGCTAGTTGGGCATGGTGGCCGGCTTGCTCCTGTCTTCTTGGCATGCTGACGTGGCAGCTGCCTTGCACCGTCGCTGATGTGGTCGCTGCCACGTGTATCATTGGTTGACGTGGCTGCTGCCACGTGTTCTATGGCTGGGACTACATGATCGGCATTGCTGTTCTGTTCATCGTCATTTCAGGAGGAGATCAGGACTGTGAAGAGTTCGTGGATACGTACCTGGCTGTCTTCATGTTGACATTGCTCCAGTGCTGATGTGGGACTGATTAGACGTGCCATGTGGCACATTGAGGATACTTTGGATACTCGATCGGACTATTGATTATTGAGGTGGTAGTAGAGGAGGGAGCCCGAAGCAGGAGTGGGCATTGTACTTTCCTCTCCTTTGTCTCTTCTCCCTCCTCTCTCTTCGTCTGTGTATAATTACCTCATCTCATTCTGTCTGGTTACGATTTTGACTATTAGTAATCATCAGCTGATGGACATTTATCTGACCTTGCATTGTTGACGACTGTCTCTACGATATGGGTTCATTGCAATTTGGTATCAGAGCAGTTCTCCTGACGACGACATTTGTATATTGAGTACGTGCCAGGTGGCGCGCAGGTAAGTAAGGTTGAGTAGGTGATGACGTGGCAAGGGATACGCTGGGGGTGTTGACTTGGCACATACCTCTCTGGCGAGGATACACTGGCGGGGTTTGTTGACAAAGTGCAGATTCATTGGCGAGAAGACTTGACCAGGGAAGCTGACGAAATACAGACTCTGCTGGCGAGAAGACATCCCAGGCTGCTGACATGGTAGTCGGGATCGCGACAAAGGATGCCGCATACCAGCCAGGATCGCGACAGTGACGTAGAATCGCGATCCCTTGCTGACGTGGCACATATCGTGCTGCGTCTGAAAGACCCTGTTGATTGCTGATGTGGCACTCCTTGTGTTGCTGACATGCGACAGGGTCTACTGCAGATGCTGACGTGGCCTGGAGGAAAGAAGATTGATTGCTGGCGTGGCAGGAGCAGGTCATCACACCTGTCTTCATGAGGTGATGTTTGCCTGTTGACGTGGCATTGAACTCCTTGGCTGACGAGGCATGATCTGACTGGCTGGAACGGCGACGGTATCTCACGTGACACTTGGAAGAGGCACGTGGCGAGGATCAGACTACACATTTGCTGACGTGGCATCCCATTATTGACAGACTGGACAGAGTGCTGACGTGGCAACATTTGCTATGTTGGCACTCCAGGGATGACATGCGGCAGACAGGATACTGCCAAGTAAGAGGTGCCCTCGAAAGACAATAGTGGTACAACTGATTGGACTAATTACACAGCTGTAGTGACAGCTATCAGGGAGAGTGCGTGATCGCATTGACATCAAGAAGACACAGCATACTGACGAAGGTTGCTGACAAACTGTTTGTGATTGTTGTTGGCATACTTACCCGTTGTTGTTGTGTGTGGTGTTTGCGTACTTATGTATTGTGTCTGATCACACGGGCCTTGAGTGGTACCTGTACACTCTTGTTTAGGACGTCATCACACGAACAGACAAAGAACAACGATAGTTAGAAATAGAAATAATTGTATCTGATTCTTTTTCTTCGGTTCTTTGAAATCTTGCTGTGATAGATTAGTGCGGCCGTGGAATTTATTATTGTTATAAAGTATCTATTGTGCGACCGACACCCATCACAATGTCTCATTTTTGGAATTGTTTGAAATTGTCGGTTCTCACTCGTTTCATTCGTTTCTTTTTCTTCCCAATCTCACTCACCTTCGCTATTGATGAGGGGACTCCTGACCCCCGTACCAGACAGGAAGTTGAAGAGCAAAAAAGAGTCTTGATTGGTCGTATGGATCAATTGATATCTGAACTCCATGACGTTGGTGCTGAAGTAGAGGCACATGCCCGTGCCCAGTTTGATTTGAAAGCAATTCATGCTGCTACCGAATCAGCTGAGACTGGCACCGACGTCTTGAAGGTTCAGAATGAACTCATCAAGTGTCGTCAGACACTTGACAAGATTATTGTGGAACAACTTGCAAAGATCTCAAAACAAAAGGAAGAGAAAGAAGTTGATGTGACTGAAGAAACCATAGATGAGAACATCAGACAGTTGGAAGAAGCACTTGAGAAAGAAAAGAAGAGGAAACAGGAAATGAGAAGACGTAAAGAAAGAAATGTACAGCAAGAACAAAAAGTGGAAGAAATTAGACAAACTGTCATCCACACTGAAGGGGAAGAACAGGCAATCTCTTTGGCTCAACTTGTGACTTACCTCGCTCAC